CCATGAATATTTGAAGTATATTAAGGGTTAAAACAAGTTAAACTGAAGACATGCTAATGTAATTGAATGCAAGGTTGATGGGTTTATGGAGTCATTTTCATGTGTCATCAAGTATAAAAAAAGGACATGTTAATGTAGTTGTTGATGTTCTTTTTAGGAGGTATGCAATGATTTTTATATTAAATACAAGGTTGATAGGTTTTGAACAAGTAAAGGATCAGTATGCTAATGATTCCTACTTTGCTAATGTGGTTACTGAATGTACTAAGAGAGCTTGTGATGAGTTTTTTATGCATAAAGTTAACATGTTCAAGATGGACAAAATGTATATTCCTTTAGGTTCTTTTGAGATTTGCTTGTGCAAACAGCTTATGGTGATGGTTTTAATGGTTATTTAGTGTATCAAATAATCATCTTAATCTAAAAGTATAAACTGTTAGGTGAGGTTCCAATATATAATTTATATTATTATCTAACAACCCCCTTGAGTGAAAACCCTTTAGGTTTGAAACTTGCACAAATCCATTTTACTTTATGCTTAATTTTTATAAAATAAATGGAGATGATGAGATTCAAACTCGTGATCGCTTGGTTATCAAGGCTTTAATACCATGTTAAAAAACTACCTCAAACTAAAAGTTTAAACTATTAAATGAGATCTTAGAATATGATTTATATTATTCTTTAACATAGTGAAAAGAAAAACTTATGAGTGGCTAGAATAACATTTTTTTTAGCTTGGTATGTTAAAGAATGTTCACAAGGTGATCAAGATATGTATTGTGTGTAAGAAGGCTAAGGGCATAGATGATGTATAAAAACTGTATATGTCATTGCCTATTCCAGAGCAGCCATAGATGGACATTAACATGGACTTTATATTTGGATTGCCTAGAATACAACATGAAAACGATTCAGTTATGGTTGGTCAATTCTTCAAAATATCAAAATTTATACCTTGCCACAAGAATGACAATACTGTAAACATTATTAATTTGTTCTTTATAGAAGTTATATATTTGTATAAAGTCCTAAAAATATTATATCTAATTGCAATGCAAAGTTTCTTAGATATTTTTAAAAAATTATTTAGAAGAAGTTTGTAATAATAATATTATTTAGTATGATATGTCAACTGCAAACTAATGGACAAGCCAAGACAATGAAACAAACTCTTTTTTTTTTTATTATAAGTTATTATCAGTATAAATTTAAGGAGTTGAAATACTTATTTGTCTATTATAGAGTTTTTTTATAATTATAAAATATATAAAATTATAAATTTTAATTTAGGAATAAATAATAAGTTTTTTATTTTTAACTCTTATTGCACAATTCCCTTTCATAACTTATTAAAAAACTTATTAAAAAGATATTGTTTCACAAGTATGCTGAATTATTGTGAAAAAAAAGTTTTGAAAATGGAAACTTCAAATCACACTCGAAAGATATAAGATGGGCTTCTCAGTATAGGCTTTAAGTTCAATACAAGTGCTCATCCTAAGGCCATGGCCATGGGCCACTTTTAGCAGTTAAACCCTTTTTCCTATCTTGAGTTCTTTGCTCAATAACCTGCTCACCCGCACCATCCCGTCTCGCGGTACCCTTCACTCCCTGGTCTCTCTCTCTTCCCTCCCCTGCTCGAACGCGCGAAGAAAGAAAACTCTTCCTCGAACAATAACCTTACTCTCTAGCTTACAATTCATTAAAGAAAACTATCTCTATCCGAAGAAGACTATATATTCTTTTCTTCTTTTGCTCAGTGACTCACTGACTTAGGGTTAGGGTCTCATAAATTGCCTGCCCAATTCACTTCTCTGTAATGCTTCAAAGTCCACTCGATATTCGCCAATGTACACTCACTCACAGCCTATGAACGTTCACAATCAGATTGCCTCTCCTGGCGTCGACGACGACCGGGCCCCCGCCGATTCTATCGACCATCATCATCACATTCACTACGAGGACGGCACCCCAACCGTCGTCGACGACGTCTCTCCCGAATCCGTCTACGTCAACGCTGGTGTCGCTGCGTCGGAACTCGGGATTCAGCCTAGTGATTGCTCCAGTCAGCTCACCTTGACGTTTCGCGGACAAGTTTATGTTTTTGATTCCGTTACTCCCGATAAGGAAAGGTTTTTGTTCCTTATTTGTGAAAACAAATTATTTACGTTTTTTATCATATGAATCCGACACAAGCTAAATTCTGGGGTACAGGGTAATGAGAACAACGTCATCTCTGTGTATCCGAAACTGTGAATCTGAAAAGAAAAAGGAAAATTAGGGTTCGGCTTATTGGCTTTTGGGAGATTTTTTAACATCATTGTATATTTTGTAATCTTTACAGGTTCAAGCTGTGTTATTATTACTGGGAGGATGTGAATTAACTCCTGGTCTGGAAATGACGCCTCAAAACCAAAGGGTATTTTCTCAAGCATGAGAGTATTGGATGTTGATAGATTATGAATTGATCTGATTTATCTGCATTTTGATTTAATCTAGGGTGTGGTGGACTACCCGGCACGGTGTACTCAACCTCAACGAGCAGCTTCATTAAGTAGGTTCCGGCAGAAGAGAAAAGAGCGATGCTTTGATAAGAAAGTTAGATATGGTGTCCGTCAGGAGGTTGCACTCAGGTGTGGCTATTTTCTTATATTCTGCCTTTATGATTGCTTAGTGCACTAGCTGTTGCTAAGGATACCAAAGTGTCGATTCTCTTCTTGTTTAGAATCTAATCCAAAAAAAAAAAAAATGTTCACTTTTTGGGCTGTTGGCATGTTTTTAATCTCTTATTTCTCTTAACATTTATCAGATGAGTGACAGATTGAGATTTATTCTTTTAACTAGTAGAATGTTATTGTTGTGTTAGTTATGATTTTCACTTTGGAATATCATCATATTCCTTCCATTGCATTATAATTTACATCTACTGGTTTTTAATGTTTAAATAACTTTGAGAAGAGAAAGGTTCCGGTAATTTCATTAGTAACCATAAAGGCTAAATAATATTCAGTGATGACCCAAATGCTGGACATAAGCGTCTATTTTTATTGGTCTGGTAACAACCGAGGCTGATGGACTTAGTGGTCTAAATCTTGTTAAAACATCGAACTTCATATGATGTTATTGTTGCATTCATATATATAGTAAATAGAAGAATGAAAATGATTTGTTTCTATAATTTCAAATTTCTAAATAAATAAAAAAAAAGAGCACCTAACAGTGCATCAATGTTTTTTATCCATTTTTTTTAGGGTATCTATATGTGTTTGCATTTGCACACTCAAATCATATTTTAGTTATTTATCATAAGCTTTCCTAAATATTTATGCCCCTCTTTTATGTTTATGCTTAAATTGTAGAAAGTATGATTCAGTGCTCAATTACCACCACTCCTAAGCAATTTATTAAAATTATTAAAAAAACCAAGAGCGCTTAGTAAAACATTGTGCCATGTAAGAGGAAACACTTGGATTTACATTGTTTTCTTTTTTTTTTGGTTAATTTTGTTCAATGTGATCCTTCCAAATTTAGTTATTTTCATGGTTAGAATTGGGTCTCATCTAACTTGTAAATTCGTGAAGGCTTATCACACATAAAATTGATGCTCGATTTAGTAGAATTAAATTCAATATTCTTCATTAAACATAAATAAGGCTTTAAGGACCAAAATTGACATAAGAAAGAATTACTAGGTTCTTTTTTTCTTTACTGTTGCAGAGGCATGCTTTTAGCATTTTTAGTCCCTTATTTTTTTTTTTCAATTTGTTTCTGTTTTAATTCTATTTTTCTGAAGTTTTACATTATGTTCTAGGTCTTCATTTTCTTTGCGTTGTAGTCCCTAAGCTTGAGAGAGTTGGTTGAGCATTGTTGAAAAATGATGAAAAGGAGAAAGTGGTTGGTGGTCCGATTTAGTGGGAAAATGACCACACTTGGTGTTTTTGACCTTTCACATTGCTTGGAAAAGTAGATCAAAGTTGAGGGAGGTTTTCTGTTTTCAGCCTGATTTTGTGTTTTTGAACCATTTTTGGAGTTTTTTTGAGATGGAGAATTAGTTTTGTGGGGTTATGAGAGAGTTTTTTCTGTGTTTGTAGGTGGAAATGAGTTTTTGGGTAAAAAAATAGTTTGCTTGATTTTCAGGCCATCTCCTATTCTGAAAAAAAAAAAAAACTTAGAGGCTTAGGTGTGTGATCTAGGGCTTGTGGACCAATGTGCCTAAGCTTATTTTTAAAGGCCTAGGTGCACTAGGCCACTCAGGTTCGCGCTTGTGGCTTATTTATTTTTTTAAAAAATTCTAATGATATTTCTTTTCTTAAAAAATAAATTATTTAAAATATAATATCTATAATTTCTTTTAAATTTATCGGTTGATTAAGAATGTGTTTAGATATTATTATATGAAATTCCATTTTATTTTTGCTTTCTTAAACAATTGTTCTTTTTGTAAAGCCTATCATAATCATTTTTCTTTTTGGTTGCTTTGTTATGATCATTAATTTTTGTTATCCTATAATTAAAAATTAATGGTTTTAGAAAAACAAACTTAATAAACCCAATAAGGTTAATGACTTGGGTCGCTAGTTTGACGGATTGACTTGGACCAATCTGATATGTTATCGCCTTAATATTGAAAAAAAAGGATGTCTTAATTTTTTTAAGCCAAGCTATGTTTTCACTGGCCTTTTGGGTTGCTTTTAGATTTGTTAAGTTAATCGGGTTACATTAAGTCAATTACTACATGTTTAAATTTTAGACTTAGGCTAGCAAAGGATTTGGGTTAGAGGGTTTCAAGGATGGCCAACAAAGCCATATTGAATGTCGCTTTCAAAAAGTTCATTGCAACAACGCCCAATTGTTGCATTGTTATTTTGTCTTTAATACACTCGCATTATAATGGTTTTTTTTTTTTAAAAAAAAAGAATTGGAACTTGCTTTTGAAATAATGAATGAATATTGTCTAAGAAACAAATGTTTTGGTGAAAATTTAAAAATAAAAATAAAAAACGAGCATGTTGATGAGATAAATGAGTTTTAGTTAGAGAGCTAGCTTTTTCAATAGCTTTTAGTTTTTATTAAAGGAAAATTACCTTTAATATTCTATAGTTTAATGTGAATTACACTTTGCTTTTTTAGTTTGAAAACTTACGACTTACATCCTATAGTTTTAAACACTACATAACTTACATCCTCTCACAAGCATGTCAAAAATAGTAAAAAAAAAATTGCTAGATTATTTATAGGATTGCTATTATGTTTTTTTAAAATGACTAAAGATACCTGGAGCGAACGAAAATGCCTCTCAAACTCAAATTGGTTGTTGCTTAATTTTTTTTAAAAACTAGCCATGACTTATTTAACAATAATTACAACAATGCCATAATTTACATATATAACAACATATCTCCCCTTTTCTCATGTTAGCACTAGCCAATTTTACCAACAAATTAGCCCCTTCCCACACCTTTTACAACATGAAAAAACATCACACTCTCATCAATTTCAGTTGTTGACAATTTTTAGCAATTGCCTACACCTTTTCTAGCAACAACAAACCTCACATTTCCCTCACCATTTTCAACTACTAGAAATATCAAGTTGTTGACCAGCCAAAATCTTACATTTCATTCTTGCCATTTCTCTTGGCATTTCCAACCACAACAACATCAAAATCCATACTTTCCACCACCATTTACATCATTTAGAGCCAACAAACAACTCATCAACATCTAAATTGTCCTACAATAAAACAAGCGAAACTATGTAACAATCAAGCAAGCCAAACTATATTATTAATGTTGAAGAATTGAAATATAGTCAATGTATAGCTTATATGCCATATGAAACGCTACAAAAGCATGTAAAAACCTTTATAATTGACATATAAATATCCAAAGCATGCAAATAACAAGCATGCACATAATAAACATCCACAAACAATTAAAATTGACATGGTACCTAAAATGATCCACAAATATTCCATCCATCATAAAACACTTAACAATATAAACTATCAACAAATCTTAAATTTTGAAAGGCAACAATCTTCGTCTATAGTCCTCAAGAGATGCAGCTAGTTTGGGTTGAGTGTTGAGAGTATACATTGGTTTATAGTTTAAAAAAGACATTGATAAGTTAATGTAAAGTTTTGAATAATAATGATAATTCACAATGCATATTTAGATGAATCTCCTATGTTTGTATTGTGGGTTGAGAGGAAGATGTTTCGGCACCATTACTTCCACCCATTCCAGCTCTTCCACCTCTTGAATCTCCTGTCCATCTTGTAGCATTATTGTGAGTTGAGAGGAAGATGTTTCGGCACCATTACTTTCACCCATTCCAGCTCTTCCACCTCTTGAATCTCCTGTCCATCTTGTAGCATTATTGTTTCCTCTTCTAGAACCACCACCTCTTGAATCTCCTGTCCATCTTGTAGCATTATTGTTTCCTCTTCTATAACCACCAGTTCATGTAACAACATTTGTGTACTATGTCAATAGCTTTTGATCCTCTTCTACTAGCATTGGATCCCCTAGATCCCCTCTAAGAACTGGTGGACCCTCTTCACCACCACTATCGGATCCTCTCCCACCTCTAGATACTCTAAAACTAGTAATTTGTTCAGCAATATCTCTTAGACATGTCCTTGAATTTTGGCTATGTTGGTTAAAAATGGTGTGCCAAAGTGTAGAAGCCTTTTTTCCTCATAGTATCATATTGATCTTCTCCTTCTTCCTCGCGTCTCTTTTTCCTTTGTCTATCCACACTCCTTTTGAGGTCTAGTGGTAGAACAGTGACATCTCCTTAGGTAGGAACTATGTTTGCTTCTGGTAAAGGGTCTCCAATCTCAGAGTATGTTTTCCTTAATTTTTTAATTGTTTAGCACAAATGACATAAATCATCTTTGTTTAGCACAAATGACATAAATCTTCTGTCACATATCTTGTGATGCGCATAAGGCACCATATGTCTACAAGAATTGCCATTCACCATAAGAGCAATGTTGTTTATCCAATTCAACACAAACTCTAGTTTGGTCGTATTCATGAGAAGAGGCTGGAATAATTCCCATGTTTCTAGCTTTCTCAATAGATCTATCAACCAAGTTTCTAACACAGGGAATAGTCTTCGTTTCCCAAGATATAGCTTGTGCATATCTATCATGAAATCTTGCCATTAGTTTCGACCTAATTTTCCCAAGTAACAAAACAATTGACATGCTACTGCACTCCTTAATCTAACTATTGAAAGACTGCCAAATTGTTTATTACATTTTTCACCTTTATTTCATGGTCATATAAATGCTGAGCCCATGTCTCATGAGGGATGTCATTCAACTACACATCCTTAAATGTCCTTTATGTAGCTTTTGAAATTGAAGCTTGTATAGGCTTTGAAGCACCCCCAAACCCTATTTTCACTCCCAAGCCTTTTGAAGCTTGTATAGGCTTGTATATGGACTTGAGATGGCATCCATCAATCTTAATGAATGACTTACATCCATTAACTAATCCTTCATTCATTGCCTTGAAACATATATAAACTTGTTGGAACTTCCAAGGTGAATGCACATTGGAATTGTAATTAGGGTCAAACCCTAAAAACATGTCAGAACTTTGATTGTCTTCAATAATTGGATATATCTTGGGAGTCTCTTAAAAGACGCCTTACAGCTTCTTTCAACAAACCTTTTGCCTTTGTCATGGCCCTCCACACTTGTTGCATAGGGTGTGGTTTAATCTCATATCTATCATCTAAAATTGTATCCAAGTCTTCATTTGAGATGTTAGGATCAACATTGATAACTATTATTAGCTTCCTAGCTGTTCAAGTTGAATTTGCAGCTTTTATTATTGGTGGGCCGCATACAACTATGCTCATCTATTAATGATTTTACCATGAATTTATAGCTACCCGGAAGGAGCTAAGTATATATGTGCCAAGCACACTCATCAACCATACATTTGACTCTAACCTTCTCTTTCCAATTGATATATCTGTTTACATGATATTCATCATATTCTCTTAACACATCCTTGAAGCGTTTTACATTAGTGAACAATTGATATTCTTCAAACTTAATTGATCCATCCTCTCCAATCTTAAATATCCTACATTTTTACATTAGTGAACAATTGATATGCTTCAAACTTAATTGATCCATCCTCTCCAGTCTTAAATATCTTACATTTAAAACCTCAAGGAAGATCCGCCTTTTTTTTTTTCTTCTTACCCTTACGTCCTCATTACCTCGATGTCTTCTTCATCATTGCAATTACTCAATTCATTCTCGGAACTAGATGCACAATCCACATTAGCATCGACTTGTGAGTTGTCAATCAACTCATCTTCATCTAGGGTAACAAATTGAAATCCTTCCTCGTTTGAAGGAACGTAATCATCATTGATATCCTCTTCATCATCCAATCAGCTTCCTCATCAGCACTCACAATATTCCCCCGCATCATCATCACCACTCACATCAGCTCCTATATCACCTCTCATGTTACCTCCATTATCACTCGCACCATCAACATTATCACCCACACCAAAACCACCCCCACCCCCACCATCATCATAATCAACAAGTAATGTTATTTTATTGCTTTTATAATCATCATTTCCAACTAAATATTAGTAGACATATTGTCATTGTGTTTTCTTGTACAACACTGGGGTGTTCTCATTGTGATAGGAGCAACATCATTATCAACATTAATATGCAAATGAATTTCTTCTTTCCCTTCTTGTTCATGCATACTCAACACTTGTAATGTCGAGGCATCATCAAAAATTGTATTTCCTTTATCATCCCTTGTCTAAAAGCCATGTTCATCCATGTCATGTACTTGCTTGCTAAAAAATAATTTCAATGTAAGAGATATATTTAGAATATATATCTTGCATAACATACTTTGCTGCCATGATGAACAATAACAATTGGCATTTTGTAACATGCAAGGATAAAACATGAGTTTATTAAACAAAGAAAATTTAAAATAGAGATTTTTGCATGGTAACTCGTAAGCTACAATATGAATTTTCTTTAGGCTTTCCAAACATAGTAGCTGGTTACGCTCAATAAAGCTAAGACAAAGATAAAAACAATCGAACTCTTTTAAGTAAATATCTTACATTTAGCGCTTTGGTGAACAGTAACACTACTTGTTGGTTTCTTGATTTTTTTTAGGGATTTGAAAGATGCTGTAGTGATTGCTTTTCCACCATGAAAAACATGTTTGAGATTCTAATATTCTTTCGGTTTTGTAAAAGAATTGAATTTCTCAGGGTTTTTTCATCCATCAGGATTAATGTTTTCCACTCCTAAAATTTTGATTTTTTTTAGTTCAATTGAGTAATTAACAATGTTTCACATAGGCAACAAATGCACTAACGATAACGATAATCAAGTAAATAGTAATTATCTTGATTCAATTTAAAAAGGGAACATACCTGTTCTTGGTCTCTTTAATGTAAGCAATGAGAGATTCCCACCACTTATGTTCTATTAGCTCCATTACATGAGACAAAACTTGTTAATCGTGCTTGATTTGAGAAAGAGAGAGAGAGAGAGAGAGTGATAGATTCAGTTCATGAGAGAGATTTGTGTCGTTTGTTCTGTCATTTGTGGCTTTTCAGTTATAATATATATAAAGGTAAGATGAACGTACCACCCAATTTGAAATTCTGCATTGATCCAGGATGTAAAGTGTAGCTTTTCAAGCTACAGAGGTGTATTGTGCACCAAACTATAGGATGTTAAATGTGATTTTCTTATTAAATAATTAGCATACAAAACAATGTTATATTTTTTAAATTAAAGATATTAATAAGAAAAAGGAAACTTTTATGCTAAGTAATTTTGTTTTCATGGAATTTAAATTATTAATCTTATAAAAAATATTAGTGCCATGTAATCAAGTTAAAAAAATTGAGGGGTGTCTATATCTTTATTTGTGCGGCTGTGTTTTGTTAGTGTTAAAATCTTTGTGGCATTTGTTGGTGAATGTGATCCCCAATCTACTTTATTAAAATGAATGCATTAGATTTTGAGTCAAGGATCAAGATTTTTCTTGTTGCTGGAAAATATGTTATCACCATGTAAAAAAAAAAAAAAACTGGCTCAACCAATGGCGTAGCACGGGCCAATTATCCAATGTTTCTTGTAAGTGTTGAAATCACACTTTTGATTTTGTAAAAGTATTAAAAACTTAGCCAAGTGTCAGGACACACAAACTGAAAGGAAAATCCTGTCTATGGTCGTACAATAGTCTTTTTAGTTCTACTATTTATTTTTTTTTGAAAACTTGGTGCTAATAATTTGTAGCAGAGGGACATTGTTTGAGAGGAAAATACCATCCACATTCATTGCACTACATAAATGAGAAATCTAGAAGTGATGTATTTTGTTGCTTTCTGGAAATACAATCTAAGACGCAAAGTTGCAATAGCCTTTGCAGGACCACTGGATTCTGATCTTCTAAAAATCTATATTTGAAGGTTCTCTTTTGTGATGCTTGATAATAGTATGTGCAAATGCTGTAATCATATCAGTAACCAGCAGGTCCTGGAAATTCCTAAACCATTGATGTAGACTAGCACCTAAAAAGTTGTGTACACTTGGTACACAGTTTAAGATGAAACAATTATTCATCCCTCATGTAAATGTTTGATTAATGTGGACTCTATAAGTCTTATTCTGTGCATTGCCAGCGTGTCAGGAAAATGACCAGTACACATTGAATATAGCTTTTTGGCCATCTTCGTCTGCTTGCCTTTCTAAATTCAACCGGACAATCAATTTTTTTGGATGATAGTTTATCTAGACAATGCTGAACAAACTGCTTTCATCAATTAATTGTTTATTTCTTTCTTCTTTTTTTACTTGGTAATTCTCTTGCCTGATTAACAACTTGAAAAGAAAAAGGTTTCCTGCTTCTTATCTGATTTAACAATGGTGGTAAAGAATTTGTAATTTTATAGACTGTCTGCTGCTGTTGATGCCTGCACATTAAGGATCTCTCTTTCTCATTTTCTTACTGTATATGTATGTCTACATCAGGATGCAACGGAATAAGGGTCAATTTACTTCTGCCAAGAAGTCTGAGGGAGGATATGGCTGGGATGGTGTTCAGGATTCAGGACTAGATGATAGCCAACAAGAAACCTCGTAAGTTGCTATATCCTTAATTAGTGAAATATATCCTGAAAGGACTTTTATTGCTTATTTGGTTGAGTAATTGTATCTTTTGTGTCCTTTCTAGGTGTACGCATTGTGGCACTAATTCAAAATCCACCCCAATGATGCGGCGCGGTCCGTCTGGTCCAAGGTCACTTTGCAACGCCTGTGGGCTTTTTTGGGCAAACAGGGTATCTATTCTATTGAACTTTATGAAATGTGGACATACACATGCTTTCATAACTCGTCCCGTTTTATATTGTTATTGCTTTCATGCAAAGTGTGTGTATGCATTCTCAGCGCAGAGATAAGGGCCAGGCATTTGCTATTTGGAAAAAAATAATGATTGTTTAGTATCTATTGTTATGTTTGCCATTTATTATCAAGTCAGTACAATAGCTTTCAGTTCTGTACATACTGTGTGAAAACTTGCATGTGATTGTTTGATGGATATTGTGTTTGCTTGTCGCTTCCCTCCCTTTCAAATATAGCCTGTCACTGTTGATTATGGTTGGAAGTTTAGGTATATGTTGACGCACTGCCATTGATATAAGTGTCAAACTTTTATTTTTGTGCACATCCTCTTAATTGCATATAATGCAGAATTACATGAAGGTGTTCAGATTGATAAATGATGGATTGATAACAAGGTCAAGATAATAATACTTTCATTTTTGTAAATGGTGTGTGAAAAAGGAATAGACTTAGAAATGCTAATGGAATGAGTGGAGGAAAGAAAATTTACAGAGAAAAAAATGAAGATTTAGTAACCTAGGAGGAAAAAAACTAGATGTTATAATTCACCTAGTAATATTGGACTATGTAGTAGGTGGAATTAGGGATGAAAAGAAGCCCAGTGGCTGCAAGATTGTTGTTCAAGACTCTGAGCATGGCAGTGTCGGGCAAATGAAATTTTATGAGCTCAAGCTCAATTGAGCTTCCAAAAGCAATGAGATTGTCTGTTGACTACCTGGCAAGCTCATGAGTCAAGGTACAGTGAAGCAAACAAGCCCTCTGATATGAGGCTTTAAAATAAGCTTGTGTTAAAGCCCATGCCATGCTTTAATGTATTTGTAAGGTGGAGGGTGGGAACACTTGCAATTGGTAGTCATATCAACTCTTGAATTTGGATTATGTCTAGATGTTCTAGGGTCATCAGCTGGTTTCTGTCAATTCATGGAAGTGGTCATTTTTATGAATTGATGAGGTTTTTTATATTTTTTTTAATTTTTGGTGGGATTTATGCTTAAAAAGAATGAGATCTTCTGAGATTGTTTTTGGCTTCTCAAGAGCTTTGAATTCTAGCCATTGCAATGAAGCATAGTACCAGATAATGGAGGTGGTGTAGCTATAGCTTATTGAAGAAGGATAAGGGCATCCTGTTGGGTGATTGGGAAAGTGTTCAG